GTGTCAGAGTGGGGACTGAGGCGGGTGGCAGTGAGCTCTGTGAAATTACCCCAGACTGTGGAATTGCCCCACAGTGTCAGAGTGGGGACTGGGGCGGGTGGCAGTGAGCCCTGTGGAATTAATCCGGGCTGATGAATGACCCCGCTGATGAATTACTACAAGAGCTGGCCGTGTAGGTGTGAACATCTCTTACCCTGCCCTGCGGGGGGCATCTGTCCTCAGGATGGTGCGTGGGGGCTGGTGTCTCTCCACAAGCCGGACGGTGTAGCGGCCGCTCTGCTGGGGGTGCAGGAAGACGGCCAGCTCCAGGGCGCAGGGCGCCCCCCCCCTCCACAGCCAGGGGCTCAGAGCCCAGGGCCCCCACTGGCCCGAGCCATTCAGCAGCAGGAACTGACCTGCAGGGAGGAGACAGAGAGAGAGCTGGGGCTCACAGGAGGGAGGAAGGAGCCCCAGGGCAGGGCCATGGGAGAGAAGTTCAGCATGAAGGATGGGACAGCAGTCCACTGCAGGGCTCGCACGTTTCACACACACGTGCACATTGGCACACACGCACAGACACACGCAAGCACACGAGTACAGGCATGAACAAAGGGACACCTGAGGCACCAGTTAACCCAGTCTGCATGACAGAGGAGGAAGGAAACTGCGGCACGCAGGGAAAACCCATCTGATCATAACAGAACACGCAAACCACACATAAAAGGATCCCCAAGCAAGAGGCGGCAGCACTAATGACCACCCAATGGGAGGAACGGGACAGAGAGGTCACTACTAGCAGAAAAGGAAATTTGATGAAAAGCAACACATTTAGCAATATGGTTTTACTTCTAAGTGCTTTTCAAGAACCTTAAAGTGCTAGAAAACTAAAAGCACTAAAATACTTAGAAAGACCTATCTTCCACACCGTCTTTAGTTTTTCTTGGGACAGCTCAATGATCTTTTTCGTTGGTCTCTCAGTAGGTCCAGACACAAGAGGACAGTAATCAATCAACCAATCACTCACTCAGTTAATCAATTTCCTGGCTATAGTGCCATGTGCAGTTTATCACAGAGCCCATGACAGGGTCATCCAGCAGCTGATAAAACAGCAACACCAACCCCCCCCAAAGAAACCTCTGGAGTCAAAGGCCTGAGGGCTGCCCAGGGCCACACCGCTCGAATCTGTGATGATGAGATTATGCATTAGGGCTTCTTATTGACACCTTCAACACCGGAGCAGCTGGTCTAGACCACATAGCCTTATATCACTACTGCTATTGCCACTACTATCATTATCACCACTACTATCGCTATTACTATCTGTATCACTACATCTATGGCTATCACTATCGCTAATACTATCACTATCACACCTACTATTAAGATCACCACTTCTATCACTATCATACCAATTATCCCTGTCACTACAGCTATTACTATCACAGCTACTATTATTATCACTATTACTATCACCACTACTTTCATTATCACAACTACTATTGCTATCACAACCACTATTACTATTACTTGCTCTATCATTATTACTATGAGTCACCACTGCTAAAAGTACCGTATCTCTACTACTGTCACTATCACTACTATTACTATTGCTATTACTACCACTGTCACCACTACTTTCAGTTTCATTGCTACTATTATATTACTAGCGTTTTATTACTACTGCTGTATTTCCATTACCATCGCTATTCCTACTGGCATTACCGCGGTGATTCCTATTCCAGTGCCTTGCTGCAGGACTGAGCTGGAAGGGTGTACTGACGACCATGTGCACACAGATAATTACTCGGCAATGAAAGCTGGCCAGCCTGAGCAGCTGTGCCTATCTGGAGAGCTGCAGCCAGAGACAGGAGAGACACCCGAGTCAGATGATCAAAGATGAAGAAGATGAAGAGAGGGCACGGGCATGCTTTCCACCGACTCAAAGGAAGGTCTGTGTGATTTTAAAACGCAAACTCAAAAGAAACACGTGTTTGCAAAAAAAAAATCAAAGAAGGCAAAGTGTAGCCTTACTGAGACAAAAGGGAAGCACTTTTCCCAAGAACAAACGACATGTTGCACTTTGAGATCTGCAGCATTTATCTCACAACTTCATTTTACTCCTAATGGCAGACGCACTGCGGACAAGGTAGCAGTCCCCTCCAGGCCAGCAGAGGACAGACTGCGATCAGCTGGTCGGTACTGAACACGATGTCTCTAATGCACTTCCTCTATAGCCCTGCTGTGCTGCAATGTCTGTCTGCTCAAGGAATTACTGAAGCTGCTTGCACTTGAACAAACATTCCCACCAAGCCACTGACAAAGTTTGAAAATACGCCCTGCAGACAAGCTGGCCCTCCAGGGTCTCTTTTTTAAAGCTTTGCTCTGTAGTGAGCCCCCTTCAGACCTGCCTTAAGCTTGTTGAAGCTGTCCCTTGCCCACACAGCTCTGGTCGTATACTGTACTGTGTTATCGTAATTGCTGTCAATGTGACTGTCCTGTCTACTGAAGAAATCTTGCTCTACATCTAATTCCAGCGGTTTCATCCCCCTTCTTGTGGATGGGCTCTACATCAGCGATTCTCCAGCTCCTTGTATGACCCCTGTTTTGAGCGACGTCTGAATAACAACTTTTGTTTTCTTTTAGTAGGATTGATAGAACACTACCAAGCCATTATTTAATATATCAGTCATTGCTCTGTCATCTAAAAGATCCCCATCTTTATCTCTGAGATACTTCTTTACTGTGCTCTTTCTGTTGTAATACAGACAGAAACCTATACTCTTTATTTGAGCTACCACTTCAAAATTCCTCTCCTGTGCTTGCGGTCATACTCCTGTTCTTTTTGAATCATTTTATAAAGCACTTTCTTTTTCCTTCCATTTCTTTCCTAATTGATTTATTAAACCAGTGGGCCAGTACTCTCTAGCTTTTGATTTACTCTCTCCTGGGATGAATCTCTTTTGTGCTTCAAGCAGAATCTGTAGAATCTTTTGCCATCCAAAATAAATGTGTTCTCCACTGCTTCCCAACCTAACCTGTTCCATTCTGCTGCTCTTAAGCTCTGTCCGGTTCCTTTTCGGAATCTGTTTTCCCTGAAGTTGTAAACGTTTAGTTTGGACTTCCACCCAGTCTGAAAGATTTACTTCAAAGCCACACCAAAGATCAGTTTGCGATGGACAGCTCTGCTCAGTGCCTCTGTCCATCGCAAACTGAGAGCGTATCATTTGTCCGGTCTGCACGCAGCCAGACGGATTGCTGTCCATTGTCTGAATCATATTGCTAAAACTGAAGCATGATAAATCATACAGTATACATCCGCTAACCAGAAGAGAGGCCTTTAAACAGGGAGGAGCTCTGTTGTCAGGTATCAGGAAGAGAAGAGAAGATCACTTTATTGGCCATATACAATTTCTTGTATTAGGAATTCGTCTTTTCGCATACCCCAGCTTGCTCTCCATGAGACACAGACAGGGAGAGAAGCTGGGGGTCAGAGTGCAGTGTCAGCCATTTATATGGTGCCCCTGGAGCAGTTAGAGTGAAGGGCCTTGCTCAGGGGCCCAACGGAGTAGGATTCCTCCGCCATCTGCGGGATTTGAACCAACAACCTTCCAGCCACAGGCACAGATCCTTGACCACAGAGCCACTGCACCGCAGTATGGTGATACAATGAGTGTCAGCTGGTTCCACTTAGACAGTGGCTCACAGTGCCTGTCTGTAGAACGATCTGTGATTAGATCTTTTCCAGGCCACCAAGTGAGTTTAATGCAGTAGCTATAATGGCTCACAGTTAGAACCTTTTCTGTCATTGTAAGAAGGATTAAACTTAGAGATGACTTTTGATACCTATAAAATAAATGTCAATTTGGGGAAAATAAATAAAGTGCTTTTCACCCTAATTCTAAGAATCATCTTGACTTTTTTTATCAAACACGTCCAAAAACAAGCCCAATTTTTCCCGATTCCTTAACCTCAGGACTGTTTAGGGTGACTGAAGGTTTCAATGCGATGAAGATTTATTGCTAAGGTAAACTTTGCTAGATATTTCTTGGATGTATAGCGAATATGTGCAAAGCGGAAACACAGCTTTTTCACAAAGCCTTGGCAGTTGCACTTCTGGTTTTCTGGCAGTGGGCTGGCAATCCGTATTAAAGTATGAAACCAAAGAGGGAACCTGGCTGCAGACTGACAGAGGGAGATTTACTCCGCTGAGTGCCAGACTTTCCCAACAGAAAATGCTGGGAAAGCGAGAACAATTCACGGCTCTTTCTGAACTCTCGCCTGGAAGCAGAGCCCTTGAATACTAATCACATTCAAGACGCAAGAACAATGATACCGTACAGCCTGTCAATTTCCGAAAGCCCCTTCGACCAGTGAAAGGATCCCCCTGCCACAGAGGTGTGACAGGATTGTGACACAGGGGCGCGGGGTGAAATCGGGGTGGCTGAATGAGCTCCCCCTGGTCTTGATGTGTGCAGTCAAAGCGCTTATTCAGACATGACGTGAGACAGGGCTCACAGGTGGAGGGGAAGCACAAAGACCACTGGGAGAGAGATATAGGCCGGTGGAAAGTTAGGGGCTCGTGATGTCTGAAAAGCCGCTGTCCTCACGTGACAGTTCGGCAAACACAGGAGTGTGGTCATGCTGCCCCGAAGGGCGTCAAGGCATGCTGGAGTGCTCCCTGCTGCGCGCGCTGATCTCTGAGAGAACAATGGCGTCTGCCTGCTCAGCTCTGCGGAGAGCCTGCCTTGAATGCATCTATTTGTCCACGAACTTATTTTAAACCTAATCTGGACGGTGCTGTGACTTCTGCCACACCTACCAAGTGAAACCAGCGTTCCTGTGTAGTTCTGAGCTAAAACATCGCCTGTAATTTTAGAAAAGAGCAGATCATTATGAACGAACCCTGCAATTTGATAAACTTTTTGATTCCTTTTATAGTCCGCGTCCACCCCCAGCACCAGACACCGCAGTTAACTGATGACATCGGTTTGATAGAGTGAACCTGGCATCGCCGGTGAGAATCTCAATACTAGTCATTTACCCAGGATTACAATTCACAAACATGGAGTAGTGCCACATACTGTAAATACACACACAGCACAATCCTCTTTACAGTAACACACACACAGCACAATAATATCTACAGTAACACACACACACAGCACAATCCTCCCTACAGTAACACACACACAGCACAATAATATCTACAGTAACACACACACAGCACAATCCTCCCTACAGTAACACACACAAAGCACAATCCTCCCTACAGTAACACACACACACAGCACAATAATATCTACAGTAACACACACACACAGCACAATCCTCCCTACGGTAACACACACAGCACAATCCTCTCTACCGTAACACACACACAGCACAATCCTCTCTACCGTAACACACACAGCACAAT